AATTTTAATGTAAATTATAAAAAGAAGTATTTTTGCCTTTTTATAAAATAACAAATTGCATTTTTTTATTTTTTAATTTATTTTTTTTTACTTTCGAAAAATTATAGATTACGTAACAATGCTTGCGAGTATTGAAAGTGAAAGCTGTGAGTATTTTTTCCTCTCCATTTCGTTGTATTTTTCTTGTCTATTTCATTAAATTGTAATTTATCGAATGAAAACAATTAAATTTATGTTATATAATATGTAAAAAAACTCAAAATTTATATAAAATATAATTCTAAAATTCATTTTTTATTTTATTATTTATAAATATTAAACACGTCACGAATTATATAAAAAAAGTTTAGAAAAAGATATATTTTTACGACTCACAAAAAACACACACAAAAAACTAATTTTATTTAATGCATCCGACAAAAATCAAATAAAATTTTCTAAAAGAAAAAAAATTACAGAAGATTAGAAAAATATTTTGCTGGAAGCTATAAAATATAATTAATGAATAAGACAATTAAAGATATTTCCAATTTCATTAATGAGAAATGAAAAATGGCGACTAAAAAAAGTGCATTTTTACTAATAAAAAAAAATTATAAATAAAATAATTACCTATATATTTCTATTTCTATTTCTATTTTAGAATTAATAATAATAATTTCTTTTAAAAAAAATATAAAAAATCGAGAGTTTTCTCAATATTATAATATTCAGAATGGATTTTTTGATGGCTGGTGGCACTTAACATTAGATTCTTTCATTGAAGAAGAGTATTTTCTGAGCAAATGATCCAATGAAATTTGTAATATTGTAAAGGTAAAGATCGTAAATCTTTGAAAATTACTATGTTAATGGACGTTTTGGGAATGATTCGAGTTCGAGCCCCTTTCGTATCTATTGTGTTATTAAGGAAATGAATTTTATTAGAATGAATACGACATTTTCTATTTTTACATTAATGTTGGGAAAAGTATAAAAGGTTTTAAAAAATTTATGTTCCAAATAAATAATTACTCTTTACTGAAAATTTTATATAAAAAGTAGTTAATTTTTTAAATGTTTTTCTTGTTATTTTTTACGTTATTTTTTGTTAACTTGCATCAAAATTTATATATTTAAAATATATGTTTTTTTTTTGTATTTTACACAGAATACTTTCGATTTTATCTAAAATACAGAAGTATTGTATTTTTGATAAAATACAAAAATACTTGTGTATTTTTAGTCGTATTTTTCATTTCTCATTAGTGACATTTTGCACTTTATCAAAACTACAGTACAAAAATACAAAAGTATTTTTGTATTTTTAATAAAATGCAAAATATTTTGAACTTAGTTTTCGTGACTTAATGTTTAAAAAATACATTGTTTATTATACGAAGATAATTTCTATATTTTTTGTAAAATTTACAATTGCATTTTTAAATGCATTTTTACGTATTTCTGGCTCTTTTATATATAAAGGGAAAAAAGTATGGTAATCGTAAAAAAATGCCCCCCAAAATTTTTACATTTTTGGATTCGGGATTTCGAATCGTCGAAAAATGCAAAAAATATTTTAGTTTTCTTCCCTGTATGTATGGATGTTAGTGTGTGCTTATGGGGACATGTTTTTGTTCATCCAGTAAGAAGCTTAATAACTCTTGCACATTTTGCCGAAAATTTCTGAAAATTTGTAGGGAGATTTGTGTATTAGGGACGTTTATACTATCAAATTTTTTGGTTAAAGGTCGAGGGGGTGGGAAGATAAACAGAGTCGCGTGTCGTATTTCGAGTGGGGTAGGACTTAATGAAGATTTTACTCGTTATTAGCATTTACAATTTAAAAAAAATAAAATAAAACTCGTCTCTATCCTCAAAACTATGCTTTTTGACGTTTTATAATACTTATAATATAAAATATTTTCTAATAAAATACCATAACATATGGCGCCTCACGCAGTTTTAATATGTTGATGCCGGTAAAGTTATGCAACTCATTCCTGGATTTTTGTAAATTATCCGATTACTTTTTTGCATTTTTGCATAATTTAAAATTTTCTTTTCTATGTTACTTGTAGTTTAAATTAAACTTTAAAAATATATATATATTACATTCATTTAATTGCTGCTATAATTATATAGCGGGAAATAGACGCGCTATATCATTATTGCCACACACAGCACTTGCCTGCGTGGAATCGAAAGTGTGTGAAAAGTCTATAAGTATTTAATTTTCCACATCTAACAACTCGGGATTTTTCATTTCTGAACGGCATTTTCTTAATTCTAATAAGTGCCCTCCGATAGCCAAGGGGATTATCCACTTGGTCACTTGTGGACAAAATGAGCAAGAGAAAAGATCTAACTGAGATAGGTAAAAGGACAAATTGTGATGATGANGTAAAATAAAAGAAACGTTTTTTTAATTCCGTTAAAGGTTTTATATAAAAAATTACACTTTTTCATAAATTGAAAACAGTGTAAAACCCACAAGAAAAAATTGAATAAAAGCTTTTTTCAACGTTACGGTATCCATTTTTGTAGAAAAGTATTTATATTGAAGTATTTATGGTATCAGTTTGGTCTTCTTAGATTTTTTTTTCTATATCGTTACAGAACTACGCCCTATCAAATTTTATATAGTTTTCTATTGATTTACTAGACATATATATATATATACTGTATTTCATTGTTCGTATATATTCTCTACCCTTTTTCATTTATCGTTTTCTAAAAAATTTCCAAACCAATGCATATAAAATTTTTCGTCAATGTTTGAATATGTCACTTATTCAAATGTATATATATATATATATATATATATAATTTTTTCACGAAGGAATTTTTTTGTACAAGATAAAATATTATTAATATATTTATATGCCTCAAAAATATTATTCTATTAATAATATCGATCGAAGTCATGCCCTACAGATTAAAGAATGAAAAATTGAATTATTTATAAATTATAAATTTTAAAAATCTTTTAATTATTTTATATAAAAGGTATAAGTTTTTTTAATCTTATAAAACTTAAATTTTGATTAAAAAAAATTGAATTATTTGACAAAATTTACCTAATATCATTGTGGCACCATCTGGTATCGAATAATGTCATCAAATTTTAATTACAATTAAATTAAACATTACTAAATCTAATTGGTGGAGGATATTATTTAATATTTAATTGTTTGAAAAATTACAAATTTATGCAAATTTTTATGCATTATTCATATTCCAGTTTCATCGTTTCGTATGGAATCTATCCAAAATATCATCATTGGGTTTGACCCTTTTGGTATCGATTATTGATTACTTTCTCTGCAAGAATATAATATATAGTCGAATGATTCTGATCGATAAAAAGCATTTACACTTAGTGACCATTGCTCTCAAGGAGATATATAATCGATATTATGATATGCAAAATTTTTTTCTATCAATAACTTGCACACATATATGCAAGAGTTATTAATATCTACAGCTCTATAACTGTACAGAAATAAATTTAGTCGTATATTATTTAATTAAATAAACATATTTTTATAGAATGCTATCGATTTTATAAGCATTAAAAGAATAAAAAACAGAGTACAATACACCAATTTTCTACCTTTCGGGTATGTAGTTGTACAGTACAGTATCAACGTTACCTCCTTTCTGCTTCGACATATTCATTCCAAATTTAAATTTTTAAATATTTAAATATCCGTTAAAATATTTTATTAATGATTTTTTACTTTCATTTATTTACATTTATTTTAAATTTTTAAATAGTATTAATCGTGCGCTTATCACGCCTGAGGTCTGTAATACATAATTTCTAAACTAAAAGAATAATGGAATATTCTTGATGAATCTAATAATTTGTTAAGAAAGATCTTTTAAATAAATAAAATAAATAAAATAAAAGAATTGATATAGGTTAAAGGCATTAATTCTTGTAGATTCTCTTTTGCTTGATCCATGACAGATGGGTTGTCTTTTGTTGATGAGACAGGGAATAAGAAGTTTAAACTATCCTCCACAGAGATATATTTATCATTGTCTATTTTTATTTTCCTTATCGATACACTGTCTTCGATGATTGCTTTCTTTTGTTTTCAGTTGACAAAATTTATTTTCATTTTCGATCCATTTGCAGTATTTTGAAAGCTTTATTTATGTCTTTTTTCTCTTCAATAAAGATACTTATCATTTTTCTTGTTACAAGAGAAAAACGAATCCTTTTCAATAATAATTTACAAGCTTATATATACGTAATAATAGAGAAATGTACAGATTTTTCTGTAATTTACACGTTTATTTTTTACTCTAGAATTAATTCTAGAAGCCAATTGTTGAAATTTATAAATTAATTGTAATGTACATAAATTGATCTGTGTAGACAAGAATGATTTTAATTGTCGTTTTCTGCATGAAATAGCGAAATTTACATATTTATTATAATATACAACAATTATTAATTTTTCTCTAGAATCAATAAGTACAGTACATTATTATACGAACAATAATAAATTTTATAAATTAATTGTAATGCACATAATTTTGTGTGTATATAATTGTATTTATTGCAAAATTATTTGATTTGTTATTTTCTATATAATAATATACTAGAATCAATAACTGCTGTATCGTTACGCAGGCAATAATATAGAAACTTATAACTTAACTGTAGTGTATATAATTTTTTATGAATAATTTTACTTATTGTTTTTCTGCCTAAAAATACAAACTTGTATTAATGCAGAAATTTGTAAATTAATACAGTGGTGCCTTGTACTTCAAATTTAATTCATTCCAGGAGATCGTTCGAACTCTGAAGCGTTCGAAGTACGAGGTACCACTGTATTAAATTAATGTACGTACATTGCTTGTACGTGTGTGTGGGGGGGGAACAATTAAAATTGCTTGTATTTAGAAAAATATAAAAAATTTACAAATTTTTTAAATAAAAATTTTCTAGAACAAATATCAAAAAATAATATTGTTTACGTTTTTATAAATTTAATTTGTTATTGCGTAAAAATACGTTTATTTTCGCCTAAGAAACAATAAACAATTTAAACAATTCTCTTCGATTGTTTCGATTGTTTGTAAGCTTGTAGCAATATATTATGGCATATATGAGGTTTGAAAATGTCGAGCAATTGATTAGAGAGGCAAAAATTTATCTACAAAATCAACGAGATTGTCATTTTGTGTGTCATCTAGGTACAGGTACGTTTGGATACGTTACCGAAATTTTCGATTATCAAAGGTCGCGTTTATTAGCAGCTAAAATTGTTAAACAATACACCAAAGGTGAAATCAAATTCTGGGAAAAATTATATCACCCTAACGTTTTACCAGTCCACGAAATCATACCATTCATTGGTAAATCTTGTATATTTCTGATGCCATTAAAGGCATGTACGCTAAAGGAAGCCATAATGCAAAGGGAATTTCTTCACGGTTTACACAAATATCTCTTCACTAAACAGTGGATTTATCAAATATTATGCGGCCTTTCTTACTTACACAACAGTGGGCTGGCTCATCTCGACATTAGCACCGAAAATATTCTGTTATCGGAAGCTAAGAATGCAATTTTGGCCGATTTTACCTACCTAACATCCATAAATGTACTTGTAGAAGCATACCAGATAGGTAGCGAGTTACCTTACAGAGCTCCTGAAGTACGAAGTCTCGAAGAAAATCATTACTGTACTTCAGCATGGTTTCTACCAGAGAAAATCGATCTATGGTCTTATGGTATTGTGGTTTTGGAGTTACTGACAGACAGATATTTGAATTATAAGGTGGAGAATTGCTACAATGGTCGAATTGATATGGAAGAGACACTTTGCTGGCTTGATGATATACTTGTTGAACGTAATTTATTAATTATCATGAAGGATTCGTACGCATTTTCGGGTTTTAGAGTTGAGGAATTAGATTCCTGTTCGGGATTTCTTCGACTTTTTCTGCAGGTTGATCCGGATAACAGGATATCTACTATTAATGCTCTATCGCATCACTTCCTTGCACCTTTCGGTAATTCTGTACAGAAGATACATAATTACAAGAAAGTTCCTAGTTGCATAAAGGTTAAACAAGGTAATTTATAATACTTTGGTGCTAGGTTAAGGTATAAAAAGTAAATTAATTAAAATTTAAAAGTGTAACGAATAATTTTAAAAAATATATATATTAAGAAAGTTTGTGAGAGCTCTTTTAAAAATGTCATAAAAATATTAAGAAGTAATTATAAAAATTTTTATATTTTTAAAATTTAAAAAATCAGAAAGAATTCTTTAAATTTTAAATTAATTTTTACGCAGTTTAATTTGAAAAATTTTTATAATTTAAAATTTTACCGTTTTGGCGCTACGATTTCACTTATCAGAATCATTATTACGTCAGGTAATTTAAATTCCAATGTTGTTATTTTGTCGATTGCAAGAAAATATAAGCGGTGACGTCAATTTCACGTAATAATAAAAATGAAAANGGCATTTTCACTAAAATTTTATCCACAAGTGAACACTTCAAAGACAAAAATAAAACTGATCTGCAGTAGACTGTCAGGCTGTTATTCTGGCAATTTGGGATTTTATGACTTGGTGACAAAAGACTAAGTGTGGCCAATTGCTGTTTTCAGAGGGTATGATGGAGGGGGAATTTGTAAAATTTTAACAGCCTTGGAATGTAAGCAGTACAGTATGTTAAGAATCAAAGTAAACCTTTGCGGGGAACGAAACGAAAAATTAAAAACTTTTTAAAAATATGAAAACAGGATAAACTTTATGTTTTAGGCAAAAATAGGCAGTAACGTCAAATTAGGCATTTTTAGGCATTTTAAAATACCATTATTTCGGTGTAAATGTTCATGAAAAGTGTTAATACAAAATCTTGGCCATGTATATGCTAAGGGAAAAAAATAGGCATTTGCCTAAAATCCGCTGTCTACTTATAACTTATGAATTTAAAATTTTTATAATTTAAAATTTTACCGTTTTGGCGCTACGATTTCACTTATCAGAATCATTATTACGTCAGGTAATTTAAATTCCAATGTTGTTATTTTGTCGATTGCAAGAAAATATAAGCGGTGACGTCAATTTCACGTAATAATAAAAATGAAAAATAACGAACTTTTTATTTGAATTTAAATCGTTAAAAAACGAATTTTTTAGGGAAAACATTTACAAGAAATACTTCAGAAACATCAAACGCAAATTTAAGCCATATGCAAAGGATTAATCCAGTTGAAAGGAAGGCAAATAGTATAAATTTAAAATATTCTTTCGATGAATTAGCAAATTTGCAAGCAGGATACTCACAAGAAGATGAATTCTCATCTAGAAATTTATACATTCATTCTGTGAAGAGTAACGAAAATATAGGTCAAAGCAACGACGATAAAGTTGAAAAAACTTACAAAAAAGACAATTCCACAATGCATTTCACCCCAGCAACAATTTCTGATGAAGCAAACTCGATTTACCGTGTTACGAAAGTGGATGAAGATGCGGAAGATGAAGACGAAAGAACGAAACATAACGGCTTCAGATCATCGAAAAGTGATGAAAGTAGAGTTTACGGACTGACAAACGTACGCACGTTCTTCGTAAGACCCAGAATATATCAAATTTTAACGGAAGAGGAAAATGTATCAGAGATTCTAGATACAGATTCGATCGCTTGTGTTAAACGATCATCACGATCGAATATTACTGTTTGTGCCAAAGGTTTGGATAAATTATTGGCATTTTTGACATATTTTTTTTCCTTTATATTTAATTTTTCTATTAAAAAAGTAATAATAATCTATATTTTGTTTCTAGCGAAGGGTGATTTTCGACGTCTTAACTTCATCAACTATGTGATTAGTACCATCAGAAACGTACTGAAAGTTCTTAATTTTAAAAAATCTCATTCGAAATTTAAGGTTGGGTGAGTTTTTTGATTATTTTTGTTGATAAAATCTTTTCTAATTCTAATTTTTTTTTCAAAGAAACACGTTCTTTAAAGTGTAGAAATTTTTATGAGATCCTCTTTGATAACTGAATGTTATCAGTATGAAAAATATCAGATTACCTACGAAATTCCTTACAAAAATCCTCTTTTATTGTATTTTTTTTTATATTTTAGGATATATTTTAAACATTTTTCTTTGAGTTTTATCTCAAAATATTTGTCAGAAAATCGGAATTTACGCGAAAGATGCTTCTCTACCAATGAAAAGTAACTTAAAAAGAATTTAAATAACGTTAAAAAATTGGAGATTATTTTATATATTTTTTAAAAAATTAAATCTAAAATAAAACATACAAAATATTATATTTAAATTTAATTAAAATATTAAATTTAGAAATAATATTTTGTATTTTTTTAAAATAATAATTTGTTTTACTATTTTTAGAGGGAAATAATTAAATAAAGTCGTGATAAGGGAGTAAAGGGGAAGAAATTAATTTTAATTTGGTTTTTTTTAAATTAATTTATTATATTTAAAAAGTCTTTGTATTTTTGAACATTTAAATATAAAATAATATTAAAAATATCTTAAATTTAATCCTAAATGATATTAAGAAGGTAAGGAGGAGAGGAGGAACAGAAGGATGAGGATGTTGAGATGGAGAAGAGATGGAGTAGATTAGATCATTTTTATATAAAATTTTTAAAGATATTTCTATAATTTAGTCAAAAATAGCCCTGTATATCTTTATCAACTATAGAATAATAGAGTTTTACTTCTCTAATTATTATATAACAGAGGAAAAATGAAGAAATCCCCCAAGATTTCTACATTTTTGGACTCGGGACTATAAAACGTCGAAAAATGTAAAAAAAATTAAAGGTTTTTTTTTCTTATATGTATAAATTTTAGTGTGTGGGGCATAGTTTTTTACTCTCTTTGAAGCTTAATAAATCCTGTGTTTCTTGTGAAAAATTTCTGAAATTTTGCAGGGAGATTTGTGTATAAGAAGCATTGGTGCCATTAAATTTTGGTGGTTAAAGGTCGAGAAGGTGGGGAGGTAGAGGGGGTCAAGTGTCGTATCTCGAATGGGGTGAGAATTAATAAAGATTTTACTCGTTTTTAACATTTAAAACATTTTATGAAGCTCATCTCTACCCTTAAAATTTAGCTTTCTGCCATTTTCTAATAATTCTATAAAATAGGATTTTTCATTAACTTTAATGTAGATCATGTATATATACAACTACACGAAAAAAATGATTTTTACATAAAATTAATTTAAAAAAATACATTTTACAGAAAGAAAGATGAAGAAAAACTGTATAGATTCCCGAAATTGAAGTAAAAATATATAAAAATTTCACGAAAAACTCATTAAAATCCATATAAAAAGTGGCGTATTTTATTCGTATAATTCTTTATCATACAATAATAAATACATACAAAAAATTTGGTATATTTAAAATACGAATTTTTCGTAAGTGGCCCACCAAACAGTTGGATGAATCCAATTTGGTAGATTTTCTAAAAAATTCGACACGCTTGACGTAGGATGATCCAAGTAATGGCATATAAAAGCCACATCTAATAAAGTCTGATTTAATAATAAATATTCTCTTGGTATCTGAAAGAATTATTAAATATTGAATTACTAAAGACTTTTTTTTTAGAATTTACTTTAAAAAAATTAAATTTCAGGCCCTCTATAAGAGTTCAGACTCCATTGCTATAGCAACATCTTCCCTTCTTGTCAGAAATACTGCCAGTTACCAGAGTTACCACTTAAACTTTTCTTACTGGGCAACTGCCAGTACTATATACCAACTATATATACTTTTTATAATTTCTTCCAATGCAGCATACCAGTGCATTCCAGTTAAAAACAGTCTTGCTTTTAACATTGTAGAAAATCACAAAAAATTCTGTACAAAAGTCTTTCTCATACAGAAACTCCTAAAATGTAAATCAATCTTTTAATGTATTACTAAATTTTAATAACAGAGGACACTGTTCTTAACAATAAAAATTTTTAAAAATTTTTCTTTAAAAACACTTGAATTATAACTATCGCCACTTCCTCAGCGGTTTACAACTAAAATTAAACACCATAACACTTACTGAGCTTACTGCAATTTAATATTCAAATGCTTTCAGCCTATTCTTATAGGCCTTCCTCAGGAAACGAACATAAAGCTTTTGAATACTCGTAAAATTTAAAGTTTTTGAACATTTTAAAAAAATTATTGAAAGTTGAAAATGATTGTTATTGGTTTTATTCATGTATGGCAAAGTAATATATGAGCAATCTGCCAAGGGGAATGCCTCTTGAAAAGTCTTTTATGGGAAACTGGCCCATATTTAGTGTTATTAATGTAAAGTCTGTTGGCAAAGTGCAAACCCACAACCAACTACCAGTTTTCAGTATTCACTCAGCCACNTTTTTTTTTTTTGTATTTTTTTTGTGTGTGTGTGAATATGAATTTTTAAATGATAAAATTTAATTATAAAAAATTAACTTTAAATCATTTTTTAGATATTTAAAAATATAACAGGAAGAGGATCTTTCAAATCGTATTGAACTAAATATAGATTACGAATGGATAACCTGATACAAATCGGACTAAATTTAACCAATAACCTAAGGGTTTATAACATAAAAATAAAGAAAGAAAGAAAAAAAAAAGTGGATCAGGACAAGTTCTATAAAACTGTTTTTTAGAATGAACATTATATAACACGACTAATAATATTTTTTATTAATTTTTTCCACGTATTAAATTACCACATTTTCAAAAAAACTTGCGTGTAATACTCTCGAGGGTGGTCTAAAAGTCAGTTAACCGTTTTCAAAACTTGAATTTACGTCTTATTTCGTTAGAAAATTGTATCATAATTCATACCATTTTTTTTTCCTTTGAACGTTTTAAATTACTATAAATATACAGCGTGGACCGTAAATCAATTAACCGTTATGGTTTGTTATTATTAATATTTCCATCACTTATCTGTGATTAATACTGTATATTTAAAATACTTATATATATACATATAGAGNTAGGTTTATTTTGTAAATTACAGTAAAATGTTGTTATATATGATATTCGAAGATGTCATAAATCTACGTAATTTATTTGGTTTATTAACATATTCGATAATTTATAAGGAAATGTTAAAAAATTCTTCGCGCCGCAACGTCGCGTCGCGTCGCATCGATCGATATTGTACACAGTATAGCTGCTTCACAACGTAATTGTGTAATTACACAAGCTACTCATAGTTAAATTATCAAGAAAAGTAAGCAAATTTACTATATAAGTGCATAAAACGAAGATTGTACTTCTTGTAGAGTCACAAAAAGAGCTAGAAGAGCTATAAGCTTACAATATGAAGAATGCATGCATCTTAAACACTTGAAGACAGTTCAAGATCTAATGAAATGTTAACTAAGCATCTATCTTAAACTTCTTATTGCTTATATTACGTAACTGTTACGTATATGAGGCTGTAGAACTTAAAATTAATTATAACAATTGCATTTAAGTAATGCAATCTGAAAGTCCTCAAGTCCTTTGAGAATGGTTCCTCGCCTCACGAGTTGAAGAAATTGAAGGATGTGGTTATAAAATTCGTAAAATATTTCTAGTTTAAATATATAAATTTTTTCACATAATTCTCCATAAAATGAAGAAATTTGGTCAATAAGGATGGATAAGATGTCCAAGAGAATCCATTTTCTTTAATTTATAAATGGGTAGGAAACGTCATAAGAACTGGAAGAATTAATCGATTGATTAATTTCTAACGAAGTAATGTTAGAAAATTTTCAACACAGAATATTTAGATTTATTTTCTTTTCTAAAGATAATTTAACAGCACTCTACAGACTCGTAGATTTCTCGCTAAGTAAAAATAATTGTCTATCGAGTATCTCTTCCAGCTTCATAAATTCTCATAAAAATTATGTTAAAGAATCGATACAGAGTTTAAAAGTACATAAAAAAATCTGGCATTAAAGAAAGTAAAGAATGATATTTACCTTTGACAATAAATGTCAATCTATAAACATTTTCTGTAACAGCGTGTAACGAAACTAACTTGAACATCCTCTCCTTCTTCAGAGAAAATTTCGTCTCTGTCTTTAAATAATAACTCTTCCTGATATAAAATATGGTTTATAAAAGGTTAAAGGTCAAATATTACGTCCCCCCAATGCCATATGTTAAAGGTTAAAGGTCAGAAACCTCACTTAAATCTCGAAATGAGTGGAAGATGGAAGGGCATCCCGCACATTAATTCCTCTTGGCAGGATATTTTTTGGGCCTTTTTAACCTGGCTAACTTCTTCTGTTAGTGGTTCTATGCCCACAGCATCGTTAGGAACCAGCCACAGACCCGAATCGGATTTATGAACGTCTCCTTTAATATTCCTATAAATTCTCTCCACGTTCTGAAAGTATGAAATTTTTAAGTAAACAATTTTTACAGATCAAACTGTATAAATCATCGGAATGTATACTTATAAATAAAATACGTTACTACTATAAAATATAACTGAGGAGTTGGGCCACGAATCTCATCTCCTGAATATGGAAATGACATTTTAGTAGAGAAGACCAAGAGCAAAGTAATAACGTTAATGCTGGCTAAACTACCAACCAACCATGGCAAGTAGTTGTGCACTGGATGAGATATCTGGACGAGAGTTAGCTGGAAGAAAACGTATAATTTATGTTTTATTCAATACATTTAAATCTTAACTAGCCAACTATACGTTATAGAGGAAGGCTATTTTTCTAGCTTGTATGCCTAAAATATATTAAAATTCATTAAAGAAAAGGTTCTTTGTATGTCCAAAATTCATTGAAGAAGATACTTTATATACGAAATCTATGGTAGGAGATGCTTTGCATGTCAAAAATCTATAGAAGAAGGTACTCTGTATGTCAAAAATGTATGGAAGAAGATGCTTTGTATGTTCAAAACGACATTTTTTGTCGAAAATCTGTTGAATAACGCCTCAAAATTCATTAACGAATATTTTTTGTATGCCTAAAAGCCATTAAAAAAGATCTTATGTATATCATAACTCATTGAATATACTCTTTTATCCAAGACCTATCGAAGAAAAACCGTTGCGTGTCCAAAAATCTATTGAAGAATCCTACAATCATCCGTTTGTTTGTGCAAAACCAATGGAAGAAGACCTTTTGTACTTCCCAAAACTCGAAAGACATCTCAAGATTTAAACGCCTTCAAATATAAATAATCGTCTACAGTTGGCAAGTTAAGGATTGGAACAATCGATATAAACTTACCCAATAAGATACGCACGAAAATGTTAATAGAGCAGTTGTGATGCCAATGATGATATCGGGATGTGTTTCGTTTCCCATTCTGCCCATACTGGGCACGAGAAGAAGGTATATCATCCAACAAGTGTATATTGTAATTACGAGCGGTATTATCTGCATAGCAAAGTGAAGTAACACTAATAACTTAGGTTTGCCACGTGATTCTGGAAAATAAAATTGATTCGTTTGGAATTTTAAGCTACTTTTCCTAAATTTTCGTACAGAAAACTCACCTCTTATTGCCGAAAAATCTACTAAAAGGCGCCCTAAGAGACTTCTAATAATAGTTGGAAACAGCACCCAAGTGATACAAACGTAAGCTACTTGGTAATCGCATCTAGATAGGGTACAAGTTAAGATAATCCAAAATACCCTTGTGGAATCATAAAATTTATCCTCGGCTAGCCAGTCTAGTCGATTGGTCTGTAAGAAAAATCACAAAATATGTAAACAAATTGTTTTTTTTAAACCATTTCCTACTCTTCGCACCGTGTCACGCGTACCTTCCTTCTAACGTAAGCAGCAATCCAGTGCGTTATTATGAAGCAGGCTAAGGACGGACATACGTACAGACCCACTATCCAATAGGTTTTAGTGTACCAAGTCATGGAATGGCCTGCTATCTCCAAAATTGCACCTAAAGCAGCATTCCATCCGGTTGCTAGTGAGCAGCCGAAAGCAGTAACAATAAAACCGGAGAAGATATCAATAACGTGATCTCCTAAACTGGTTCCTATTTAAAAACAGGAGATAAAACTTGTTAATTTATTTTTTTAAAACATTAAAAANGATGATGGCGAGTAGGATGCATATTCCTCTCTCTTCGTGGATGCTGCGGCTGTTATGCCCACGACCATCAACAGTAGACAATTTGGCATCATCTTCTGGCTAAGGAACGGGACAAAAAAAAGGTGTCGTTAGTTAGAATTCTTGGGGTTAAAAAATATATTTTTTTAATGATAAACCTTCAACTCTCTCTAGTTTTATCTTAATTGCCATTTCTAAAATCGTCAGAAGACATATTATCTCGTTCATAACAGTGCCAAGTCGAGTGCTGTATGATACCAGGAAGCATCCAAGGACATCAAAATATACAAATTTTGCATTTTTAAATGGTTCCGGATATAATAAATACGGTGATTTTAGTAGTTTGTTAATTAGTGCTAACAAATCTTTACCTGAAAATACCATAAAATTTCTCAGAATCGCAACAATTAAAGCAATTGTAACTACGTTAACAATTACCTGTCCTACTGAATTTCTGCAAAGAGATCTTCGATCCATTATCATATTTGGTACGTTGAAGGTAGCCATTTTGTGCGTAAGATAAATCCAGACCTAAAAAAATGGCTAAACGGATTAGAAAATTGGACCTTCGAGTGGATTTTCGGAAGAGGAAGACGTACCTGGCCACTTTCCAAGATGGCAGAAAGTCTTAAAATCTGTATGCCTCCAGAAAATCCCACTGTTAACTATCTCTTGGATAATGATGGATGCTAAGGGCGAAGTTACGCTATAAGCGAATCCTTCTATCATCCACGTGTTATCTGGTCCTAAATTATATAAAGAATAGTCCTTAAATTGTATAACATTTTTATATTTTTAAGCATTTATGTACCTGCTTCGATGGCCATTAATCTTCCTTCAGTGCCAATGCTATCCATGTTAATAAATGCTGTGACGTTTTTACTCCAGGGATGCTTAGTTACAAATCCATGGGCAGACTGACGTAGAAGATAAAAAATTATTTATGTTTTTTTATGGAGGTTTTTTTTGAACTCTCTTTCAAAAATTTTAATATAAAAGAAAGGGCATTTAGGTATTTTGTTGAGGATAAAGATGAGTATGGTTTTAGTTGAACTAATTTAACCTTGGTAAAGTGTTTTTGTGTTATTTTCTATGTTTCTTGTAGGTAAAAAAGTGGGAAAATCAGAGTAAAAGATTGTTTTAAATGCTGTTTTCTAATCAAGTTTTGAGTCTGGAAAGAGCATGAAGAAGCTATGGGGTGCTCTTCATTTTTCTAGGAATTTTTTAGTGGAAAGGGTACGAAGCTTCAAAATAATCTTAAAATATAATAGGAGCTTTTTTAAGTCTTGTAAATAGAAAAGAGCAAGAAGAATGGGAAAGTCTATCTAAAATACACTAAAAATGAGTGTTTTAAACACGATATTTCTCAAATTCTATGTTCTTTTCCATTAAAAAAGTAAGAAAATAATTTAAAATGAAAGACTATAAGACGAAGAGTTGTTTCTGTCGTGGCTATAATTTGGCTATGGGAAGGCTGCGGATACATCTTAATTAATTAAAAAATCATCTCTGTAAGGTGGCGTTGATCGAAGCACGAGGTGTGCTTACCTTTAATGTAGAGCTTGTTAATTAAACTCTTCTAGTTAGAAATAAAGCTGTTTTGTTGTCAAAGGATTGCAATAATTGTGAATAGCATGAGAAATTAACTCAACAAAGGGTTATGGGCCCAGGAAGAAAATTCCAACGTCGATGCAACCGGATTGAACGATCGACCACGGTAAGCCTAAATTTGCTATCTTAGAAACCGAACCGTTATAACGAATAGAATGGCCGAAATAGGACATGGACAGTTACCGAAGTTTACGGGTAGCAATTTCACAAGCTGGAAGTACCGTATAATGGCCATCCTAGAAAGTAGAGATCTAGGAAATCTGTTAATAGACGACCCACCTACGGATCCCGCCGAAGAGGCGAAATGGAAAAAAACGGACTCCCAGGCTAGAGGCATTTTAACATGTGCGATGGACGACACACAAGTGGCGCTTATCTTAACGTGTAAAACGACAAAACAGATTTGGACCCACTTGAGAGAAAGATATGAAGGGGACTTAAGGAAACAAGCGATAGAGGCCAGAAACAATGTGGCGAGATTAGTAATGAATCGTGACGAGACATGGAGAGATTATCTATTAAGAGGAGAAAAACTTCTAGAGAGTGCTAGGATAATGGGAGCCCAAATAGAGGATGACGAATTCATCACCGC